GAAAAGTATGCCATAAAGAAGTGATGAGGGAAGGAGCTAATCTATGAGTAATTAGGTCAAGAAGATTATCCAGATATTTTTTTGTTTCTGCTGTACAAAAAAAAAAACTAATACATTTAAATACAATGTAGCTTAAAGTTTAAAAGAAAAATTTGAAATATATACATATATCCCCCACTCCCCTTAAAAATGTAACAATGTTCTACACACAATCGTGCAGTTCATGTCTTTATAGGACAGCATGGAATGTCATGTCTTATATTTACCAATAGGTATGAATTCCTGCTGGTGCCAGGGAGGACCTGGTATCACTTGAATGGATATAGTCATTCAAGTTATTCAGAACACTTTATCTCAATGAAGTTTTCTGGCTACAGTGCCTTCATTTTATCCCCGCATTTTAAAACACTGCTTAGTAGATATGGCAATGTTACCATTGCAGTGCTGAACAGACCTCTAGTGGATGACTTAATAAGAAGACAAAGAGTTGGTGTGAAGTCATAGGAGGCAGATCGGGCAGCTGCAGAGACTGGTTGTTGTCGCTTCAAAAAAATAATAAGTCATACCTTTTTTCCTCCCCATTTTCAATATTTGATTTAGGGGGTGAGGTTCTGAAGCTAAATGCTAAGAGGAATGCCATAGCACTAGGAATACAGGTTAGTATTCATAATGCTAAAGTGTTACTTTAATGGGTTACTCCAACCTCGAAGACCACTTCTTCTTGAAGTAGTCTTAGTGTAAGCAATATGAATGTACAGAGGTTCAGCTTGAAACACTGCCTACAGAGAGAAATCTGTTATTTTGTGTCAGGATGTAGTTATATCACATAAGCATTAATAAGTCAGGAACTCTGTTACAGACAGGCTAATGTGAGTTCTGTGAAAAACCTAATCAGCTTCTTCCTTTGCCAACAGAACTGTAAGCGCACCTGCAAGGAGACACTTGTAGGGCTGTGTCTATGTGGCTCATGTGCAACTGAATGGAAATAATGTTTGCACCGTCATCCTATCCTGTCCACCCTCAGGGCGCCCACACTCTCTCACTCCTACCCCTCCTCAATTTAAGAATTAAGAATATAGGTACAAGCAGATCCACATGTGACGGCTCATAAAGTAGACAGCCACGCCGACAGAAAGGTTTCAAACTTACCTTGGTCTCGGCGGGCAGCTGCCCGGTCTCCCTACGTTACGGTCCCCAGCGGGTGTGACGTTCTTAAGAACGCCGGCCGCTGCGGCTCAGGATTTTATAATAAACTTACCTTCGCCCCATTAAAAATGGCGCCAACATCCGTGCGACATCACGTCGTAGTATTTTGACTATTACGGGTACGTTAAGTCCGACCATTCTATGGACCAGTTAGACGTTATCCTTAGTCTTTTGGTGTGATACAATTCTGCGTGACACCACCATTGAGAAGCAAGTCCCCCATGTCATTTCTAGGAGTCAGGATGGCTGTAGACACCTCCTTAGTAGACCCTGACCACACACACTCACATCACTTGGACATGTGTGTATCAATGAACCCCCTCACTGCTAGATAGCTACATAGTTGCATAGCTGAAAAGAGACTTGCGTCCATCAAGTTCAGCCTACCTCACATTTGTTTTTTGCTGTTGATCCAAAAGAAGGCAAAAAAACCCAGTTTGAAGCACAATTTTGCAACAAGCTAGGAAAAAAAATTCCTTCTTGACCCCAGAATGGCAGTCAGATTTATCCTTGGATCAAGCAGTTATTACCCTACATTGAAAGATTATATCCTTGAATATTCTGTTCTGGCAAGTATGCATCTAGTAGCCGTTTGAACATCTGTATTGACTCTGATAAAACCACTTCTTCAGGCAGAGAATTCCACATCCTGATTGTTCTTACAGTATAAAAACCTTTCCTTTGCCTTAGACAAAATCTTCTTTCTTCCAGTCTAAACGCATGGCCTCGTGTCCAATGTAAAGTCCCGTTTATGAATAGATTTCCACACAATGGTTTGTATTGGCCCCGAATATATTTGTATAATGTTATCATATCCCCTCTCAGGCGACTTTTTCTAAACTAAATAGGTTTAAATTTGTTAACCTTTCTTCATAGCCGATATGTTCCATTCCTTTTATTAATTTTGTAGCCCGCCTCTGCACTTTTTCTAGTGCCATATATGTTATCTCTCAGAGAGAACAGAAGCAAATTAACCTCCTGACTGGCCGATGTCTACACTTCATTAGCCAGAAAGAACAGGGACTAGTTAACTTTCTTAATGTCTGTTACCTACACTTCATCCCTCAGAATGAACAGAGACAAATTACCCGCTCACTGCCAGATATTAACCTTGTATCCCTCAGAGAAACTAGCAGCCAAATAACGGGCTCATTGCCAGATATCTTTCCATTATTCAGAGAGACCAGGCACCAATAAGTTGGGTCCAGCTGAATATGCTGGCTGCTCTGGCTGAGGGAGCCTACAGAACTGGGAGATGTGCCGGTTTTAACGGAGAGATCAGCCGTCACTCAGCTCATCTTGCCACTCATGAAGGCACACATTGCGGACATTTAATGCCTATCTATCAGAAGAAGTGAACTGGCAAGTTGTGGTGCTTGGTGTGAATGCATCCAAGAGGTGCAACGAAGGACAATGCAAAGGCAATTCTTTAAATCACTGGTTTCTTCAGTAATTGATGATAGAGGGAGACTGGAAAACTGCTCCATTCACCTCGTACTGCTTGTAATCCTATATAAATTAAATACTAGGTTTAAACCTCTGTTTTATGCTACATTGAACTGACCACAGGTGGGAAGGTAATTATTAAAGAGACGTGTTCTGGCAAAAAAAATAAGTGAGCATCTGCTGTGTCTTATGTCACTAAAATAAGTAAGTAACTGAGGCCTTGATTTAAAAAACTTCCCAAATTATTCAATACAGTTAGAAAAACTTTCCTAATAATTTATCTAAAAAAAATTCCCATACTTTAATAGTGACTTCTGCAGATAAATGATTTGATTTTCTAAAAGCTTTGAATAATTTGGAAAGCTTATTAAATCAAGGCCTAAGTTGCTAAACATGTAGCTTGTTGGCATAGGCCTAAATACAGGCCGTGATAGGCTCAGCCGCTCCCCACGTCACAACATTTTCCTTGAACTGAATACATGGAAAGTCACATTAACAAACAGGTGTTAGTACATAGTACAACATGATGTAACATAATTGAGATTGTTGTTCAAATTTATAAGAACACACCTTTTCTTATAGATTTAAAAAAAATTAAAAAAATTATCTTGGGTATCAAATTAATAATAATGTATGTATGTATATATATATATATATATATATATATATATATATATATATATATATATATATATATATATATATATATATATAATGGGGAAATAAAGCCACAGTCCTGATTAATACTTACGTAATCTCACAGCATCTGATTTATGGTTGTCATTCTTATTTGGCTGCATAAGAGGAGCGAATGAAACAGCTAATATGTTTTTAATATCCCATGTATTTTGTCCTGTTCTCTGGATTTGGGTAAGCTACAGGGAAATAAAGCAGAAACATATGCTCATATAGGTGATGGTCTAATTTACACACGTTTTTGCATTACAACACAAAGAAAAAGTTCTCTCTGATTTTTTCATTTCATAAAAATTATTATATATATATATATATATATACACACACACACACATATATATATATACACACACACACACACACACACACAGATTTTGTTAAAATAATTTACTTTAAATGGGAAAAGTTTTTTTTGACGATTTTGTTCCCTCATGTCAATTTATTTATAAATAATTAATATGCATTTATACTTTACTTTAATGGTTTACATTCTCTATTAGTATAGAGAAAAATAGATTGAAGAGTACATACCTTACAAAATTAGAAGGTACGAAGGTGGGGAGCAGCACTGGAAGATGTCTGTCAATCACACAATGACAAGCATGCAAAGATGACATGCTCTGCTGTAAACAGCCCTACACAGAGCTCTTGATTCGCGCTCAAAAGGACAGGGTGCTACGTGCACTTTGCATAGTGTGACAGTGTCTGATGATGCACACACTCTGCACTTCGTGAACAAATCCAGGACGGTGGGACAGGAACCCCAGATTAAGACTCTCCCACCAAATTTGGAACTGTTGGAACCAATACAATGGAGGCAGCCAGCCTTCAATAAATGCACATCAAGCTGACTGGCAGTCTTGCTGACCAGCTCTCTAAAAAAAGCAATAGTCTTATTCAAGAAGAGCCAGAATGTTTAATAGTGGACAGAATGGCTTTAAGGGGATTTTCCCTAACAGGCCAAAATGGTTATGTCCAATGTTTATGCAATATTAGCCATTTTTTGCTATACCAATTCTGAGTTATTATAATTACATTATAAATAATGGGGTGGATTGGTGGGACTTTATTAGAGCTCTAGCTAGGGTTGAGATGCGCTGGATATATCAATTTGTGACAGTGAAATGAATGCCGATTTTGAATTTTGTAATTCTCTGGGTTATTTGCTTAGAGATATAGAAGTTGAATAATTTTTATAATGTCAGATATGTAAGATTTAATATTCTGAATATATATATTATATATATATTATATAAAATATACCTCGGTGGCAAGCACTCACAGGAGTCATAATGATGATAAGATGCTTTTATTCAGCAAAAGTTCATAAATCAATAATGTCAGTTTCGACGTTTCAATCCAACCGGACTATTTTCATGACCGGTTCACTGGCTTTGCATCCTTTCCTAAGTTGTGTTTCAAAGCAGTTGTATACAGCAAACACAGACTCAAAGGAATCCATGTTTAAAATGGAATGAGGCAAAATGTGATTCTTTGTTAAACTAATTTGCATATACCCACCAAGAATCCTTTGCGGTAGTAACATCATGCAAATTCGTGATTTCTGTGGGAAAAGCAAGTCTTATGGCTTGACTGGTCTGCAGACTTGTTTAACATTGTATTGCGATATAGATATATATCATATGCCCCATCCCCCCGTCTAGTCTTTCCTCCAAGTTATACCTATTTATGTCTATGTTTACATAAATAGATAGCTTGGAGGAAAGACTAGACAGGGGGGATATAATAGAAACATTTACATATATAAAGGGAAACACAATAAAGAGGAGTGTATATGTAAGAGAAGAAAAACTAGAGTGGCAAAGGTTTAAAAATATCAGGACGTATCACTTTACAGAGAGGGCAATCAATGCATAGAATAGCCATCTAGCTGAAATGGTAGAGGTTAACATAGTGAGGGAGTTTTTCTAAATAATGAAAGTATTTAAAAAATTGGGCAGACTAAATGGGCTGCATGGCTCTTATCTGCCGTCACATTACACATATTTTGTGTAATATTTTAGTAGGCTTTTCCATATTATTTTCAGGAGAGTTTCCTTTATTTGGAGCAATATGAATAGTATACATACCTCTATTTATTTAATAATGTATTCAATTATATTTTAGGATGTGACAATTACATATTGGATGTACTATTTTGTGGATATCTCTGGACACTTTGTCTCAACGTTTATTTTTAATTAAATTTTATATTTTCAATTTTTATTTTACTTTATTGTTCTGCTCTCATTTGAACTGTGGCATTTTTTAAATTTTTATTTGAGTTTACTATTGCAAGATCAACGCTGGCTAGAATGTTATGTCATTGGAATATTTTCGTGACATTAGTATTAAAGACTGGGAATTAAAATAGAAAAAGAACAAGGATTAAATATTTTATTTCATTTTATTCTATTTAATACATATCATGATATTCCCCAATCTGGCACCTATGGAGTTTATGTCCAGCAAGTTAATGGCTAATGGTTAATGACCATCTAGGAAAGCTGCCAACAACACTTAATGATTTTATTATGAAATGGATAACAAATACATTGTTTGAGAGCGTGCTAGTTTGTATTCCTTGTGTGATTGCTCTGTTTTTAAGAGCATGGGCTGCATCTAGAGTGGCTATGGTAACCATAGCTTGTGTTCAGCATCATATATACTATTCCAGCTTTTATATTTAAACCCAATCAATGATATTTTAGATACTAAAGGGAGTGGATAGTTTCTGATTAGAGTCCCATATGGCTGGCCTTTTTTCAGTAACTGGATTGGTTTTATCCAGCTATGCCTTTTGCCACCACTATGTTGTCATGGCAATGCATACTAGTAAGGACGTATTATTAGACATAGAAACATAGAAACATAGAATGTGACGGCAGATAAGAACCATTCGGCCCATCTAGTCTGCCCAATTTTCTAAAAACTTATAGAAACATAGAATGTGACGGCAGATAAGAACATGGCAAGGATTAGATTTTGTATCACTTAAGTCTAACACAGAGCTACTAAAAGCAGAATATATGACTACATTTAAGTACAGATTTTTTTGTTAATGTATATAAGACGGTACATGAAACGGAGTGTAAGCAAAAGGAGACCATTACTCATGTTTTAGTTATAAAGGCTGCTATGTGCCATTGATAGAGCATTTTAACAGAGCAAAACATTGCTCTCTGTATAAGAGGATTTTATGTGAAAGAGCCTGGATAAAAGGATTAATGCCTGCAGTGTCCAGCCGAGGAGGCCGTATAGAAGGAGGTGTAGTAATAACCAACTAGTGTTAAATTAGTGATATGCGGTTACTATTTTAATTATATATTTTATTAAATAACTCTTTATAATTATATATTATGTGCAGTTCCTACTCCACCCCCCTTTCACATTTTTTGGAACAAATACAAGATTGGAGTTTGTACTAAAACATTATTGGATAAAACATTAAAAAAAAAAAAAAACTACAGTGAGAAAATAAAGAATTTTCTTCTGATTAAGTAAAATTACAAGACACCATTAGTATATTACCACATTAAATGTTTTTTTTCGCTTTTCCCACTATTATCCTAAAAATAATGAAATCGTCACCCCTTATAAGTGACTATGAGTTATTCTTTTTTTTTTTTTTTTCTCCTTCATATTAGATTATCAAGCGCATTCCTCAGTTTAACATATGTGATGATTGTTTTGTGGAGAAGTTAAAGGTTTTTTTTCCCCCTATTAGTTGACTCGTTTTATCAGTGTTTTTCTTCTTTTTTTCCAACTTTATTCAGCAATACAAAAACTATTGCATACATCTGTATTAAATTATTAAGCAAGAGGGCAGATGACGGATTAATTTATGTTTTAAGAAAAAGAAAGAGGGCAATTGACGGCCCACTCACCTCTTCCACCCTGAGAAGAACATTACTTTCCCAAACATTGTTTGTAGCATTAGTGACCGTTTCTTCAATAAAAAAATAATAATTCAGGAGTCATGACTGAGCCAGGAGTCATGACTGAACCAGGCAGGGCAAAACTACTCCACTGAAAAGCACTGTAGAAAATTGGGAGCATTTCTGGGCTGCAGGCTGCTGAAGGTCGAAACAGACCCTGACAAAGTATCCCTGCAGGTCCCCAAGGTTACGGTGATCGGTGCTTGGCTTTGCCAGCAGCCCAGTATCAATCTCAATGTAATCGGCTTGAAAATCATGCTTCAGTCCGTAATACATGAAAATCTTGCTGTAATACTGAAAAAATGCCGTTAGATGGCAGCAACATACTGCTCTACGGATTTAACTAGGAAACTATGCTAAAATCAGTACTGGTAAATTTGAGTTAGGAGTAGTTTTGGGATTAGATTTATTGGTAAGGGAAGGATAAGGATAGCTGTGTGGTGAGGGTTATTGTAGAGGTATTGTTAGGTTAAGGTAAGGGTTAATGCTGGGTTTAGATTAATGCTGTTTTAAGGTTAGGGACAGTGTAAGGGTTAAAGGTAATGGAAGAGTAGCTATATTGCTAGCATTAGTGTAAGCATTGGGTTAGTGTTGGTATAGCATGGGGGGGAGGAGGTTGGTAAAGGGTTAACATTACGTAAAATTAATTTCCATTCTACAGATATGGAGATCTATTTTGAGTTTTTAATTTAGTTGCCCTGGATGTGTAAAAGTTATTATAATCAAAAATGTAAAACTTTTTTTTTTTTTTTTTAATTCCTCCCCAATTTGAATATTTTTTTTCCACACTTATTGTTGTTTAATGTATACATATAGGGTATTTAACCCCTTAAGGACACAGCCTCAGAAGCTTGTCTTACCCTTAAGGACAAAAGCCATTTTTGCATGGTTTTTGCTGTTTATGTTCAAAACGCAATTTGCATCTCTGTCACTTACTGCACCAACACATATTATATACAATTTTTTAGAGGGCAAACAGGGCTTTAATTTGAGGTCACACATACATAGATACATTCTCATTAATTATAAAAATTACCCACAGTTTTGGCAACAATAGCATGTGCATAATATGTCCAGCTTAAAAAAAGTAATTCAAAATAAATTCATTTGAGAGTCTTGACTTATAGAGTACATCATATGTTTAAGATTTCAGCTTATTTTGAAACTTACAGGTCACAAAATACAAGGACTAAAATAAAATTTCAATTTGCAAAAGTTTTAGAAGTTGAGATTTCTGTCTTGCAATTTTAGTAGCCATCACGGAAAAAAAAATTGCCACACAAAAAGTATATATATTTCTATAAAGTAGACATCACAGGCTATTTACCTAAGGTTAGTTTGACACTTTTTACGATGCCATTTCATCACCAATCTCTGCTAAATATTGGAGTAAAATTGTATTTTTTTTATTTTGGCATATACACATAACAAGGTTTTTGTAATGTGTATTTCATAAAGCTGGTGTGTGCTCTTCCTGCACAGAATCCCATATTGTGTTCAGCCTTTGGCACAATTCTGTAAAGCTACATTGCAAGACAAGGCTATTTTTTATAGTTTCTAGATTTTTAGAATTTTCGTAGATTGATTTGACGGGCCTATGTCTCATTTTAGGGTATTATAGCAGTGTGACTGTTCAAATAACCCCACAAAAGGCTTTCAATTGATAAAGCAGACATCCCAGGGTATCTTAAATGGTGTATATTGTACCTTTACTTGTCACTATTTTTTGACCAATTTATGTCAGTTTGTGGTAAAAAAAAAAAAAAAAAAAAAAAAGGTATTTTTACATATAGGTTTCATTTTTGCGGAGTATTGCTTACACTTTATATGAACCACTTTCATTAAAAAAAAATTTAAAAAAAATTATGCTAAGTTACAATATGCCCAATGTATGACCTAGACACTATTTTGTTAAGGTACAGTGCTGTAAAAGACGTGACAAGTTCAGGTTTTTAAGTGTCAATTTTCATTTTTGATGCGTCTGTGTCCCACTTTGGAGCACTTGAGCAGGTTACATATTCCAGCTACACCATAAAGGATTACCATTTCTTACAGAAGACATCCCAGGGTATTTCAAAAGGCATATTATGAACCTTATCGTGGGATAATTTTTCCACTAGCTTGTACCAAGTGTAGTGGTAATAAGCATTTATTTCTGCCTTTTTGACACACAAAGTGAGTTTGCACAGTATATTTTGCAAACCTTATGTGTGGATACGACTGTATAATACTACATCTGTTGCTCAGCTAGGTCATCTGAGTACAGCAGTACCCCCGTATGTACCTTTGTCAGTTATATGTGGATGTTGAAGGGGCACATTCAGTTTTTTTCTAACTTTGAAGTTTTATGCTGTGTCCATGTTCCATTTTGGAGTAGTTTAGCTGGTTGGTTATTCAAACTTCCCCACTAACACATACTATTTATTAAAGAATACACCACGGGGTAATTCAAAAGGCATATTTGAACCTTAGCGTGGGTAATGAGCATTTGTAAATGTATTTTTTTACTTTTTAAAACTCGTTTTTAAACTTTTTAAAAACTTTTTGAAACATTTAACCGTTAAGCCCTAACTAGCAGTAAGCAGCACTAACAGTAAATTCCCCAAATTCCCATAACTCCCATCCACCCCAACTATCAGATCACAGTATAATACGATGATCTGTATTTTGATCACTGTAGGTAGTGATCAATTGGCAGGGAAGGGGTTAATTTTTATTAGGACTGGGTAAACAGGGTGGGATTTTTTTTTACTTGTTTAAAACTTTTTTTCCCCTTCAGATTAGAGGCAGTGCTTTACA